GATGCTTATAAAGTTATTAGACTTACAGGGATAACAACTCTTCATTTTGCTCGGAAAAGTGCCATGAAACTTATTTTCCTGGGGTAAACGACGATTTTCCCACACTTACCAATGAAACTTAATGACTCCATTCCGACTTTCAAAAAAAGTCGGTTGTTTGTTTTCAAAAGTATTTTTTTAATAATCTCTTACGGAGGGTAGTCATCTATTAAGGTCCACGTGGTCCGATGACAAGAGCAGATTTCAGTATAATTGCGATGTCCGTCTCTATTGGTAAAATGGATTTTTTATATATTTTTTGTGTTGTTTACAATGTATTCTTTGTGGAATTTTGAATCTCATCTGAAGATTTGCTATCTCTTTGAAGCTTTAAGCACGAAAAGTATGAACTTCTCTCAGCATTCAGCATAATTTATTGAGGATGAAACAGGATATAAAGACAAAACATAAAGGTCTTATACACCGCTGGTAATTGTGAATGATAGTTCTGAGCGCCACGTATACCGCTGCTTGAGTCGTATACTCCCCAGGCTGATGAACGGATTGAACGGATGCAGGATTGAACGGATCCATAATAACCAGGCATATAATTCAAAAAGCAATTAACGGATTTTAGATTAATAACTGAAAAAAAAATCCGTTATATCTTGCAACTGTTCTGAGTTGTAATTAATTTCTGTTATCAATATTATTATTATTCCACACTCTACAGAGCTTTGTTTGAATAGAGACCTATATATAATAATTATTTATCATTGTTTTACATGTTATCATATGGTTTTATCTTAATTCTAAGAAAGGCAACAATAATGCTTTCAACGAAAAAAGGATTTCATGTGATGCAAGATATACTGGATGATGCCATGTAATATTAGAGATAACAGCGAGATTAACACTCCTCATGCCACGGTAAAGTGGGTACACCTCTATAGATGTTGCAAGGTCTAAAATTATAAATAAATGAACAAAAACATAAAAGTGTACAAAAATATCATGATACTACTTGTATTCCATTTTAGGTACGCAATACAGATAAAGAATTCTTAGTGGGAACACAAAGCCCATAGGGCCACACACGCCTGCCCCACGACTTTTGTCAAAATGTGTACACATTTATAAATAATAAAATACAAGATTTTGGCACTTGGTCGCAAATATTTTCACAGTCGTGACCCTCAGAGTGGCGTAAAAGCTATGGTAAATTTGCGACAACGTCAACTGTTTTGAACCTTAGGCTATTCTCAATCCTTTTTTCTAATAATAATGAGAATATTGTTTGTTTGCAACTAAGAGTATAGTTGGATCGTATAGTAAGTTATAAATGCATCACAAAAATTGAAATTAAATAAGTTTTAATTAAGGTGTTAAAACGAATTAAAATGATATTTGGCACATTGAGGATATTCAAAATACATTAAGTTATCGGAGTCCTTATTAAAAAACCATAATAAAAGTCCATTTAATCATGAAAGCATTCAGTGCCCATGAATGTCTTTTAACATCTGACAGTTCTCAATTTTGGGACGGTATATTTTTGAGTTCTACCTAGTGAATAGAACCTTGTTAAACATTCAACGCTGGTGGTAGATGACTGAATTTTTAGATATATTGTGGAGTAATGATTTCGATAGTTCGTCTCTTCTGCATGCAAGTGTTTCTGAAATTATATATATATATATATATATATATATATATATATATATATAATTTTTTTTTTGAAATTTATAGTGTTTCATCAAACTGGATATCAGGGTATATAAGTTAACATTCTCATTTCTGATCTGTTTCAATGTTGCCACTTTGTTGTTTTGTAGGCAGGTGTATTCTAATGTAGGTCTTATGACTGACATGTAGTAGTTCAGCAGTAGAAATTCCTGCTTTTTTTTCAATAATTTTAGCTTTTGTGCATCGTGTGGCATACTTTTTAATAAGTATCTTAAATGTGTCTCTCCCAACTAAAATCATTACTGCTCTTAACACCTAAAGACAGCAGATCCCATTCTCTAAATCTCTTTATCATTCATCACTAAGGGTGTTGTTTTACGTCGTTCTAGAAAAATCAAATGATGTATGTTTGGTTTTGCTTGATTTTGATGTTGTTGTCGTTTTATTATCATTGGCCCAGAGAGTGAGAACTGCTGTCGCAGTTTTGGAACCTGTCTTGCCTTTCAATTATTCATAGCAAAGCACTGTAGTTTCGTTCACATATATTGGAAAGTTTCACATTCAGTTTGTGACAAATGTATTAATAACTACAAAGAACACAGATCCATGTTTTGCACCTTGCGGTCAACCTGCGCTGATGTGTAGCCATATTGATTCTGTATTTTCAATTTTGACACATTGTTTTCTCTCCGTCAAAAAGCAATAGTAAAACCAATGTACAACTATTTCCGATATCTCCACGCTATAGAGCTTTTGGATGAGCAGAGTGAGCTCAATTCTGTCGAAAGCCTTAGTATTATCCACCAGCAGCATTCTCGCACATTGTCCATACTGTTTAAGGACAATCTTGTTGGTCACAACATCCCATATACACTCAACAATAAAACTCTGTAGTATCTTGGAATGAAGTGGAGTTAATGAAATGGGTCTGATGTTTGTTTCTATGTCCTTTAGTGCTGTGCATTTGGGTAATGGTGTTATATACATATATGCATGCGTGCGGCAGATATCCTTCAAATCAATTAAATACTAGAACGGCCAGATATCCTGCTAAATTATGGAGAATCCAGTAAGGAATTTTATCCGGCCCCTACGGCTTATGAACGTTGACTAATGAGTAAAGTTGTAATAGGGCTATTTCAACTCTGTTGGGCTACGGTATATTTCACAAGTATGGGATCCACTGTTTCGACGCACTTTGGTTCTAATGGTCCAAAGTCAGTTGTAACAGTTTGTAGAAATTGATTTATAAACTGGACTAAGAAACTGAGATCATCATTGCATGAGCTGTAAGCTTAGCTGAGTAAGGAATCGCTCTGTTGTTTGTCCAGTCAACAATTCAGTGTCTTTCCACCACTGGATCCATGTGCCATCTGGTACTTCTTTCATTTTTCCATGAAAAAAAAAAACTTCCTCTGTGTTTTTAAAGTCTGCTGATTCTATTTTTGTAATGCCTACACACGATCGTGTGATTCTCCATCCATTGTCTCTTCTTAACCAGGTCTCTAATTGGTCACTGACCATTGTTTTTTCATTGTTCTTTTTCAGCGTTTTTGGTGGGTAAGTACTCTTCATAAGGTTGTTGACAACGTTTTGAAAGCAGGCGAAATAAGATATTGAAGAGTGGTCTCCAGTCAACATTATTCAGAGCATTGGAAAACAGTCCTTCATAATTTTTTTCCAAATGTTCTCTTTTTAATATAAATTTCATGGACTGAACGAGACCAATGCCAATTGCATGTGTGCATAGCACAGCATTGTGATCGGAGTTGGACAAAGAATTTAAATAACTTTATGACTTTTGTTCATTTGAAGATAATAGAAATCCTTACTCTAAAATATTCTTTTATTCATTCAATCATGTTTATGAAAATATCATTATTTTTTTACACCAAATATCAAAAATGTAAATATTCACCAATATCTCAAAATCCCATTTGTCATAATTATTCGATATCGAGCATACTCTTTTTGAAAATTTGAAAATATAACATTAACTGGTAGCTATTCACCGACCAAAAAATCGAACTGTATAGCAATGTAATAACGTAATAGTACACAAAGAAATCGAAAGTGAGTATATGTACGAAAAGACTTAAGACAAAATGCACCAACGGAATGGAGGACGGAAAACGTACATGTATTACAAAAGCTCTTAGCAATTATTGTCCTTAGTAGTCAAGTTTCTATGTAGACTTACCGGTATTCCGGGGCGTACGTTCGACACCGAAATCAAACAGAAGAAATGAGGGATAGAGAGACGCAAGTATATTTGGGATTTCGTGGGACATTCTGTGAGATAGAAATGACAATGCCCTGCGAAATCCTAAACGTGCATGTACGACACTCCTTTCACACGCAAGGACAGAGTTTTCAGCGAAAGAACCGGCTTCTGGTTAACCGTCTCGGTGGAAAACGGATAATCTCTCGTCATTTCAATCTCCGTGCATGTACAGTCGTAGGAATAGGAAATAGCAATAGGAAAATCAAGGTACAGTATGTGATTCTGTTTGCGTATAATTTAATGGTAGTGAAAAATATCTTGTACCGGGTAAATGTATAGGAGCAATTAACATGGAAGAAGGAGGGGAAGGGGTGCTTGATCCAAGCCTCCCTACATATACATCGGACATGCAAACAAACGGATCTTCCAGTGGAATGTACACATTTTACTAAATAAAACTGATTACAAGCAGTATCCGTGTCCATTAATACTGTTTTGCGAGTTCAATATGCTTTACAATTTTTTACATAGCTTGAGCTGTACTACAAGTACAATTGTAAAATTGATATCAAACACTCACACATTTTCAAAAAAAAATTAGGTTTAAAACAAACGTTAGCGCTTATGTTTCGTCATACAAAAAAACTTGCAGCAGAGGGTATATATTATCAGCTCGAAGAGCGGCCNCGCCTTGAATCCTTCTCCCCGACCCCCCCCCCCCCCCCCTCCAAGTGTATCAACGCTTCCCGACATCAACAGCACCCATACTATGTACATTCACTGTTTTTTAATTTTACAGGGGATCTGGAATTTTCTGCCAAATTATTGCAAAAAAAAAAAAAAAAAAAAAAAATGATACAGATCTGGACATTTAAACACTTTAAACTTTTATCAATACCACACCTGTGCGAGGTACTTATCTAATTAAACAAATTTACAGCCAACAAAGGGGGATCCTGGAGATAGGAAGGAGCTAGGGCAAAAAATAAAGTGTATAAAAATAATTGCTCTCCTTTTTCTTGATATCAAGGATCTCCCAATATCCTCAAAATATTAACAAAACAAATGTACACATATATATATATACCAAAAATAACAAAAAGCACTTTTATTTATTGAATAATGCTATTATCTGTTTATGCATTATATTCTTCAAATAGATTATGATTATCTGAAAGAAGAATAAATTCACTTTATAAATAATTCTGGACAAAGCATACATTACTGGCACTAATTCTGACAAGTGGCTTGAGTTACATAAGATTCATCACGCAACCTATGAAACATATTAGTAATTACATATCATGAAAAAATACCTTGGGCAAAGTAACACCAGTTAAGTATAAACACAGTACATGTTGCATGTTATTCTTGAATTTTATAGCCTTAGTTGTTTACTTCTTAGAATACAACTGGGTCAAAGTTGATTCTGTAAGTTTATCAGGCAAGAAAACATTATGCAATATTTGCCTTGTCACTGGTTTATCTCCACTGAAAAATGAATACTGCATCTCAACAGTTAAGTGGCACAGAACTTGGTCAGGGATCTGGACCTTGATGAACTGACCATTTTATCCATAAGGTCACATGGTTCCTAGCATTTCACCAGTTTTCTGGCTCATCAAACAATTTCTTCTCTGAACCTGAAATGAAGGAGAAAACATATTGCTTCTTTCAAAACAAATTTCTTTGTACACAAAATAGTAATGCTCTATCAAATAATAATATAAGCCATTATATCTGACAGCTAATATAGTAACTAAGACAAATAAAGTAACTAAACCAACAAAAAAATCCCTAAAGAGAGAAAAATTCATTTTTCTATCAATAACCCAAGGAAAAAACTTAATCCATTTATCCAAGAAGTAATAAAAAGCAACTCATGTCTTTACAAAGCTGTGGTATATCATGTTGTCTCCTACCTAGATAGGGCAATCTGTGACTTTTGAACCCAAGACTCATGGCTGTTTACGTAATTTACTCATTTATCAGTTATATAAAACTGTCTGCCCCACACTCATATTTGGGGTTGACATATCTTGGAAAAATAAACAAACCAAATGCAGTGTGATCCTAATCCTGAACAATGCCCCACCCCTTCCAATCCTTATCAAAATACAGCTACTAAACAGAATGTGCCCCAGTTTGCTGAATAAGCATAACACAAAAGTGTATAGTATTGGGCTCCTGTTTTTTTTTTTAACCAAATTAAACCGAGTCCACAAATGCATTAAATGTATCAATTCAAATGAATTATTATCATTATCATTATTAATCAAAAGCCTGTTGCTGATGATAAACAAAGCATATTTTCACATATACCTACAGTATCATGTTATTTATGAATATATATGTAATTTTTTAATGTTGATGTGCCCCCACTTGAGTTTATTTTTCTGAAGACAGCATGTTGCTCACCACTTTTGCAGTCAGTCTTCATTCTCTTGGCCAAAGGTTCACCTAAAATTGGAATAAACATGCAAAATATAAATATCATCATAAATGCATTTTGACATTCCATGACCATTACAAGCATGATTTTATGACCTAGTATTTCCACATCTTCACATATTTGAGAAATGTCAAAATTCCAATTTAAGGATGAAATGCTAGTAGAATGACAGTTTCTTTCAATCAGGTCTTAATTACCTAAATCGTCCATGTTGACAGTACCATTGTTTTCTTCTTCCATCTCCTCTGGAATAGGAGTGATGCTACGGGTGGACTGGAAGGGGGACGCACTGAACAAAACATATATATATACATAAAAAAACACAACCTTCATTCTCAAACAATTTAATGTACACAACATTGAGTTTATGTATAGTGTGAAGTATTTTAAGAGTCAAATATTTTATTCTTTGAATAATTGCAATATGAACCATGAAAATCATTTGTCTGAGGACACTTCACTTTCAGATTCAGTTTCTTTATTATAATTCCAGAAAAAGCTTCTGCATCCATACCCTTGTAAACAGTAACTTTCAAGACAGTGCCCTTAAATTAAATAAAACTATGACCAAAAGCATATTTTCAATTGTGTTTTGAAAGTGTTCTTCATTCCAAGTTCGCACTAACTTCACATTCAGTGGACTGGAAGACTGCCTCTTCTTCACAGGTAAATCCAAGTCAGATGCTGGTATGTTATGCTTTCTGGATGAAGACTTCTGCATTCTCTCGATGAAATCTTTGTAAGCAACAACACTGAAGGTGTCTCCAGTGGTTATGTTCTGTAGCACTACATAAAAAAAATCCAAAGTCTAAAATTGTATTACACTATTCTATGAGATCTTGGGACCACTAAACATTACATTTAAAATGTTGATAAGCAATTTAGACATAGAGCGTGGATTGAAAAGGTTTTCATTATGGTTTACTCCCCTTTTGCAAGTCATTCAAACAAAATATAAATGTATGGACCCAGCAAAATTTTGGCAGAACCTGCTATTCTACAAATTCAACTGACTGTTTATAACAAATCAAAACTGTGCATATATATGTAATTAATTAATTAATTAATTAATTAATTAATTAATTAATTAATTACAATGAAGAAAACCTACCTCTGTCAGCTTCATCCTTTTTGTACAGAGAAACAAAGGCAGAGTTATCATCCAGCCAACCAATGTAAACATTCCCTACATAAAGATAAAACAAAGACTATCATAAAAGGAATACCATAAACGTTCTACTTTGGATAAACTCATCAACTTCAATACAGAAAGTTAAACATCAAGCTAGTAATAATAATCTTAAATCCTCAGATTTTATTTTTTTTCAATACATGTTGAATTATTTAGTCTGTTTTACCCATCGAATAAAGGCCTTAGTTAAAATGTGGTCTTATTTGTGCTATTTCTGCTTGGAAGTGAACGACTGTTTATTTGAACAAAACCATATTACTATCATAACAATATACAAAATTGAATGTCTCTTACCAAAGGGAGCAAAGAGCTGAGAAATGTCAGACGTCTTCCATTCTTTTGGGAATGACAAGTGGAACACATGATCTCGGCTTGGCTGTACTGAAAAAGTAAAATATGAAATATTACTGGATGAAAAACAAAAACAAAAAATGTTTTTTTGCAAGATTTTAAATTACACTTGGCACATAAATTTCATAGGAAGAAATTTCATAGTAAGAAATGGAAGAAATTAAAGCAAATATTCACACTTACAATCAGGTCCTGCCAGATTCATGTAAGGAATGTCTTGTACTCGGAACATGAATAACCTGAAATGAAATTGAAATATCAGTGAACAAACTGTGCCAAAATCAATCTTGTTATCATCATTATGAAGTTGCATTTTAGATTTCACCACTTTCTGCCAAGTGTCTCTGCTCGTAATCAGATTTGGAACATTTTCTATCACCTTGATGAATTCACAATCAATACAGTTTAGTTGTATTGTCTGAGGTGGTCTCAACCTTGGCACAGTAGCAGTAGAAAACTGAACTGCAAGTGTTGTTAATATGTAAAACTTAATTATTTATGGGTACCCTAACACTACACAAGGCTTCTGTTTCTGTAGGTAAAATGCGTTTATCCAATTAAGGTTACATTAAATTAATTTCATTTACACCATTACTACAGTCTTGTGCGGTGTCAAAAAAACACCACACATACAAAGATTCATCTTACTTGTTTAGAAAGGGCTCTATTAGGGGTGATGATGGAGGTATATGCTCTTTTTTTGGTGACTGAAAAGTGCCTTTCAAAGAGAAAAAATAGAGACTTTGAAAAATCATTGCATTATAATCCCTCTACCAGTGCTGTGCAACATAATTTCTTTAGACATTTCATCGTTGATGGCAATTTGACCGCAATGAAGGTCCAATCTAAAGCAATTAATCTCAGTCTGTAAAAGAGACTATTTATTAAGTTAAAAAAAAGTAAAATACTGAAAAAAATTTTTATGACATTTACGACATAGCACGTAAACACACCTTTAATGCCACTTCATTTCATAAACATGAAACGTGTAAGAAACACTAATGTGTCAGACAAATATTATTACATTCACCAAGGAAGTCAAAAGTATGTTAGTTCATTATAATTCTATGCCCTGAATTCGATGCACATGAAAATCGTCCAAATTTTGGCAAACGTAGGCTAGCATCTGTGCTATACTTCTGTATTTTTGTCTTGTAAGCTCAACCGAAATTGTTCACAGTAAATTATCAACAAATGTATCCCTATCTGACAACAATACATGCATGGAGACTGGTGCTAATGAAAACGTGTATGTGCATACCTAGATATTTGGACATTCCAATAAAACACAGGCCTGTGATAAATGCATCATAACCAGCTTCATGGAGCTGTTCATGGTCAGTGGTATAAGCAGGAAAACCTTCTGCACTCTCTGGAATGATACAGAAACCATGCACAGGATTTTAAAGAATGCCTGATTCTGATATTTAAAACACGATTAACAAAAAAAGAAGATACAAAATAATTTCCATGTCACTGTCAAAATATTTCCCCATCTTATGTATTTTTTTTTAAGAAACCATCTTTCTGTGTTATGGAGTACAGTGAAATCTTTATGTGACTATACAGCATGGACCTACCAACAACAGGTTTTTCAAATGGTTTGTTTTCCAATAATTTGCGCAGGTCTCCAAGAGTAGTGCTGATGATCCAATCCTATTATCATTAACAGAACAACAGTTATTACTATGTGATGCAATTACAATTAATTCAAGATCTTTACCACCATAAAATTAAATTGAAGTATTTTACAATAAATCAGAAACTGTTCGGATCAGATTTTAATAATCAGTACACCGACAACCGATGAAATAATTTGCAATTTGCACAACATATATGACCAAAATTATGTAAAGAATCTCATTAAGATCAATAGTGCATATATACTGTATCACTTACTTTGAATGGATGGGTGCTAGACATGAGTTTAGTATCCAGTAACCTACAGGAGAATGCAAAAATGTCAAGTACACAGAGACGCCAAAGCTGAACAGAAACATTAGATAGCATTTGTATCTCTGTCAAGTTTATATTTTAACCAACACAATTAACAAAACATTTATGCTTAGTAAATAGCCACTAGATAATTAAGCTGCTCCATTGTCTGACAAACACCTATACAAATACAAACATTATTCTCATCACAAACTGAAACAACCACCCACATCTATCTTCACTGGATAATAGCACTAAATATTTACCTTGGAAACACACATCTTGTTAGAGATTTAAAATCTTCATAACTCTGAAAGAAAAAATCAAGTACTTCTTCAAATAGACACACGGGACACAATATAAACACAGAATAAATAACAGGGATGACAGCTGAATCAACTTATGTTATGCTTCTTAGCATAAAATAATACAGCAATAATTGATATCTGTTCAGTTACCAGTTAAATGAAAATCTAAAAATGTCAGATGAGCAAACTTTATAATAAAGGTCACAAATATGGCTAACATAAAAAAGGATAAATTATTCTACCAAAAGGGAGCCATAATATGAATTGAAAACAGTGCCTACATCACATATTATCATCAAATTCCTTTGGTATCTTATTTTCATGATCATAGACCCTTTTCACATCAAATATATACTAAACTGTAATGGCTCACTTCAACAGATTACCACTTTATAGAGTACCTATTATGTAGGGGAATCGCCTAAATTCTGACATGACCAATTAATGATCTCAATTTTACAGCAAACTTGTGTGGAATTAGTGAAATGGAGTAAAACTATCTGTAGCAAAATATACGTTAGGACGTCTCAAAATAAACCAGTCCAGTATACTACTCGCTATGATAAGGACCAATTTTTTTTTCTTTCCGTTAAAAAAACTGTTCGTAAGAGATTCATATTTCATGATAAATACATTGTAAACAACTCACAGAAATATAATATATTCCATTTTACCACCACAATTGTTTTCTGTGTTTGCCCTCAGACCATAGATGGCTAAATCTCTGTAATAATCTCTTAAGGGATTATTACAAAAAGCCAAACTTTTTAGAAAAAAAAAAAAAAAACATATGGACTACCTTTCAATGTCAGAATGGATTCATAAACCATTGCTAAACAACTGTTACAGTTTTTATCTCTTCAATTATACACTGGAGCACCTTGAAGTCATGCACACTCACCTCTGGTAAGGGGCAACTGAACTGATGCAGTACATGTAAAACGTCCAGCATCATATTATGACCCACAACAAGCTTGCCCTGAAACAACAAGTGCACAGATGATGACTGATTAAACAACAGATTGATTGTGCATGTATATGGAATATGTTCTTAAGGCTAGTTTTTTTTTTTTTTTAGTAATTAATTGCCAGTCAAGAAGTGTGACATAAACCTTGGTTACTGCATTCGCAGAATACGTACATCCTGATTCATATCACTTTGTCCATCAAGAGTATGCCAACCAAAATATAAATATGAAATCAAATATGAACTGGCCTTTGAGCAACTACAAGTTTAGTGTTGCAGAATCAATTTGAGCATTGTTATTTCAAAAAAATATGAGAAAAATATTATTACTATATATCTCTTAATAATTCCTTTCTTTTTTTCAGCAATAAATGCATGGCTTTTTAAGCGATTTAATAAGAATCTATTTCTAAGCATAGCTTCATCAACAGTTATTAATAAGTATTGCTAGCAGTGATACTTACAGACTGGGAGATCATACGGATTACTTTTGAAAACCCAACAGCATTCTCCAACTCCTCCTAAAATTTTCAAACATGAATAAAACACTTCTTGAAAATGGAATGTGTTGAACATCTCCACACAAATTAATGAATAAAAACTATCAATCAGGACCACAAAGTTTTTTATATGTCTTCAGTGTTTCTTTGATAACAGTTTGTATAAAAATAATTCAATAACTTTGCAGCTGACCAAGATGCCTGTTGCTAGTTAATATGTTTATTTTAATGTAATCTGTTATTCGCACAATAAAAAGGGTGCAAATGAAGGAGGAGTTAAATGTAGATATACCTTGCACACAAACCCTATAATTACAAGTGGCTAGCTGAAAAAAAGCTTTGCAAAACAGCAACCTGATCTTTGGCAATACATTAAATTTACTTGGATCAATATCATCTTAATCAGCACCTTTACATAATACTGAAACCGGATTCAACGATTACTGCAAATAACATGCAATATAGAAATGCTCCGATCTCAACTAACACAGTTCAGTTTTAATTACCATTTCTGCTGCCTTCCTGCTTTCTTCTTTTTGTTTCTGGTCTTCTGCATTCTTAACTTTGGAGATGACTATATACCTTTGCCTGTTATTATTTGTTTTAGTTTCTAGGTGCAGACCTGCATGAAACCTGCAAAAAAAAAAAAAATAATAATAAAAATAAATAAAAAAATAAAAAGTTGAGATATATCGTGCAATAATAAACCCGAGTTTTATTTATATCATATTTTCTACATTTAAACTTCCACCAAAGATATCAAATTTAGTTATTTTTAGTGTGCATTTTGTCGTAACTGTTTTCTATGGAAAGTAATTATAAACTGGGCTATAAGCTACTAATATGGCAAGAACTTGCTTGCCAGAATTCTCACATCCAATATTCAACAGTTTGATATTAGAGTATTTATTTTGTATATTTCTTACTTTCTGTTAACCTTCATAAAAGTAAATAAAATCTGCTACATCCTTCTTGTATAGAAATGTGAGACATTTACTTGACTGCACAAAAATAACAAATAGTAAAAATAATTTACTTTAGCTTTAATGTCTGATACACCAATTTTCTTTGAAATGCACTGGTTGGCTTGAGTTCTAATGTTTGTGAGGTGTTTCCTTCTGCTGTCAACTCTTCAACTTGCTTACTAAAAAATTAATAATATACTTTTCAAAATTATTAATCTGAAATAAAAAAATCCAAAATTCACACTTTTTAAATATTAAATTCTCTGTTACATCACTAGTTAAGCCAATGATCAAACATTCCCTTTCCTTTTAACCCAAAAGTTACAACTTTTACCAATAAAAACTTCAAAGCCAGATTTTGAAAAAAAAAATTGTAGTAACAAACAGAATAACAGCCCGCAGCCTTACCAAATGTCCTCCACATATTGTTTATGCTCACTGGGGATCTCTATGGGACCTTTGGCTACAGCAGTGTCGGCCCCAGTGGGACTGGTGAAAGCAGGGGAAGACATCACATCGAGTTGGTTGTACTTTGATTCCAGTGCATCACGGGACTTCTGCTCTTCTGCTGGGGTCAAGTATGGAATGCCTGAGAGCAAAATTTAATAAATAAAAAATAAATAAATAAATAATAATAGTAATAAATTGAAATAACAAATACATAATGAGCTTTAGTTAAGCCTGGAGAGTATGATGTTTTTTGTCCCCTATCCAAAGGACAGAATGATCTGAGACATTTCACAAACTACATGAAACATTATTATATAAATGGGAAATTTATTTAATATGGAAAACTATATTTTCAAAGGTTTCTATCTTGATGCACCCCCCTACACACACACACATTTCCTTGAACTTATTTCTTAGAAAAGAGCAATGCATGACAATGTGCAAGTAACATAAGTATGAGTAGGCAACTATCAAGTGAAGAGCAATAAAAATCTAAAAAAGATCACAAGATTATTCCCTCAAACCTTCATTATGTTTCAGGCTATCAACGTGTTCCAGACATTCTGGTCTTGCAATTAGAGCCTGCTACAAAGTACACTACCAATGCTACCTGACTAAAGTTTGTACACGGTAACAGTAAATTGAAAAAAAATCTTACCTTCTCTGAACAATTTGTTAAAATCAAATCCCTGAGACACCAAAAAATCAATACTAGAACTCTGGAAAGCAAAAACATAGTGCATATATATAAATTCCAATGGAATATAATTTGTAGAAACATCCTACATTACAAGCTTGAAAGTTAATTCTATGTGCCAGTTTAGTTCAATAGAGTTTATAACACGCACAATTGTTTACGTTCATTCTTTTCTAGAATATGGCAAGGTGACAAAAGGGAAAAAGTATTACAGAGGGTATGAATACTTTTTACTGCAAAGTGCCCTAAAATGATTGCAGAACATCATTTGACAAATTTGTCAACAAAGATTTGCAAAATATCTCTCAGGTTCTTTTACAACTGGTCTGCAAGACAATGCTTGCAAGGGAAAACTCCCAAAAATCTTTTGAGTTATCTCGACATGACTGAATTCCTAAACCTGTGTATATATATATATATATTACAAAAAAATTGAACTTATAAACTTAAACAAAGGAATGAACCAGAACCTGATAGAACTGGTCTTCATACCTGACATGAGAAGCACACGTCTGGAGCCTGCCTGCTGAATGGCTTTGGAAATAAGTAGAAGTTGAATGCTCTGATGATGTGTCTGTAAAAAATTAGTGGAAATAACAATTAAATCTATGCCCGTAAAATTTGCACAGATATGTTTGGTTGGCTAGCAACACCATTTTAACCCTTTTTGCATAGAAAAATATGTTAACTGATATCCAAATACTATGTGAAATAATCTAATAGGAAGAAATAGACAGCATGTATATATAACCTCAAAAGAACTAATTGTGTTACCTCTTTGTTGTAGCTTCATATTCAAATGCACAAAGGCCAAACTGCATAAGTAGGAAATCCATAGACCCCTAAACAAAATAAAAACAAGTAAAATCCCTTTAGTTTGTACATACATAATCATTTGACAATATTTTAAATATTTTACAATATTTTAATTGATTTGATTTTCATTAGGGAAAATTTTTAAAAGCTTCTTCCCTGTTGGTATGTTATTACACCTTGTCCTAGACTTACTTGTCGTAGCTTTTGGTATCTTTCATTTGGGGTGTCAAATGCATGAAGATTCACTCCTTTTTGTAGTCCTGTTCATTAAATTATAAGATTTAAAAGATTAAATCTATTTGTTGCACTGCATTCATATCAACTCTCTTGGAAAATAATAAATTCAAATATATATATATTCACTAGTCATTTTCTAAAACTATATTTTACCATTAAAATGTTATTGCACCATTACTCCATCAAAAGTAACACTGTGCTAATTAAAAGAACACTTTGCATTAAATAAGCTTATCTAAAAAAAAGTTTCAGAGATCATAGCTATTTGTGAAGCCATACACTGCACCAGCATGCAGTTGATCTTATCTTTGACAAGCACCAAGAATAACATGGATTGTTTGCACAGTTACTGAATAACTTATATCTCCCCCATTTTTAAATAAAACAAATTGGTATAAGATATGGCATTTAAATTATGAAATACCTGTTGCCAATTGCATTCACTCATCAAGAACTGGTAATGGTCAATTACAATATATAACAGCTATAAAATGTATATTTCTCACAGTACAATTTGCAAAGACCTACATTGTACCTGTATATGTCACTTTCAGATTATAGAGCAAGCCATGTTACCTGTGAATTCTCCATCTATTGCCAGGAAGGATGCTTTGCTAATGGCACTGGAGATTGTTGGTAATGACTCTCTGAAATCTAGCAAATGTTGCTTTTAAGTTCAATCTTTCTGAATGTGCACAAATCTACAAAATTGTGTTTGAGTTTACGTTACAATGTCTGAAAATTTCCAAAAAATTAACAAGTAAAAATACCAGTGCAAGGACTGTCAATGAAAAGAACTTTGATGTCTTTGTATCTTAATTGTCATCGCCGAGGTGAAAAGAACAAAGGCAAACCCTTACTGCTTCGCGTAACTTCCATGATCAAAAGTCACAATATCTGCAGCATGTATGGATGTACGATCTACATGTGTTGCTGCTTCGGCGTGTTGAATGAAATAAAGTATAGACTAAGTTCAGAGAGACGGCGGTACTTTCAGCGACTCCGAAAATTTGCCCTATCAGGCTACCTTGAATGTACACTAGATGGCACTGTGCATCTTTTAAAATTTATATTATTTTGCACACCTGAGAGTGTGTTATTTGTATGATAAAAAAGTGTGTTCGTTGTATAATAAAAAATATATTAATTCCATGTTTAATTCTAAGTTCGAAAGTCAATATTGAAAGGTGACTTATAACGTTAACACACAACTCCTTACTGGTGTTTATTCACCTCAAGTTTCAATATACATACTTGAGATCCGCAGTAGACTGCTTTGAACATAAACGAACGACAACGGAGGGCATATATATATATATATATATATATATATATATATATATATATATATATATATATATATATATATATATATATATATATATTTGCTTATAGATGTGAAATTTAGTTATAATATCAGTACTTTAAAAGATCAGAATAATTGCACGTTTTTCAACCCCCCCCCCCGAAATAGATAAAATCTATTATTATTAATGTTAACAATTTAAAGACTTAGATCTAAATGAATAAAAAATACGGAAATGTATGAGAAGTTTAATTTACAGTTAGTTGTTTAGTGGGTGGTACTACCTTCTTTAAAAAAATTCAGAATAAAAAAGGTTTGTGTGGGAAGGGCTACAGTCAGGAGCCTCATTACCTGAAATTTGAAATAAAAAAATTGAAAAATATACACAGAATAAAAAAAATACATAGTAAATAGCCAGATAAAAATAAAATAAAATAAATTTTTTTTTTTTGAAAATCTTTTTTTTTAAATAAGTCTAAACAATGTGCAATGAGTAACTGAGCTTTTATTTCTAATCTTCTTATTATTTTTGATTACTTTCAAATGATCTGGACTTATTCAGATTGTATTTTCCTCTCTTTGCAGTTATAGACGGATGCATAAAATTTTTGGCATTGCACATGTAACTGTAACCATATTTTCTAAGGTAAAAACAAAATCCTATACCAGCACAGAGTATACATTTAAAAAGAAAGAAAGGGAAAAAACTTATAAATTCATTTCTCTAAATTATTTTCTAAAATTCTCCTGTTCATACAACTGAAGTGATTATTTATAAAAATCTGAAAAGTTGTTATTGTTGTTGTAGTTCTCCTCGGGGAAGGGGCAGAAGGTGCGTGTATTTTTTATAGTAGGAGGATGGTTGGGGGTGGAGTACCCTAGCTGTTAGCACCTTCAAGGCATTCGATGGGTGTATTTGCTTCTGCAGTAACCACTGAGTTGAGTGTTTTAAGCTCCTTTTTTGTTTAATACACTGAATAAATCGAACTAATCAAGCATTGATAAGAAACGTGATATTACCCGCATCCGGCTGAACGGTACTAATTTGCATATGCATAGGTGAGTTTTCACATAATGCATAATTTACTTTTCAATATGGCGTCAAGCTTGCAGTAAGCGTTACTGGTGCAGTGATCGGTCACGAATCATTGCATAGGGGAAAACTGAAGCCAGGGTGAGTTGGTAATTTAGAAGTCCTCATTTTCTACAGGCGTATATTTGATGGTGCCAGTAAATGCGCGATTGCGGCCATTTCGAGAATAACGGTCTACGTACATGAGGCGGTGAAACCTACAATGTTTACAGTTACGAGTTAGGTGAGGTTAGCATTAATGTCAGTGTTCAGTGTTAGTGAAATAGAAATGCCGCTATTGACATTGCTATCTTAAGGTATTGTACTTAACGTATACTAAACCATAGCTCAAACAACAGGCTCTGTGTTTTACTGTATATGTTGTGTACATGTAGGTTAGAAGTTATAGTGACACTGTGCTTTCGCGGATACAATGTACAGTAATTGTGACCCCGTTAAATAATGGGTTATGGTTTACCTATAGCGTATCAAAGCGGTTAACCGTCATAACGCAAGGTTTGTGTGTATTACGCCTGTTCTACTTCACTTCACAAATTCACCCAAGCTAGTGTAGTGCAATCTGATTGTCACAAAAGAAATTACTGGTAATAATAATATTGAGTTGATGTGGCTTTGTGTATGGTTTAGATAAAGCAGGATCAATAGTATGGACAATAATCAGATAAAGAGGCTTGTGGCATATCCAAGTCAGTCAAGTGTTAGACATAATAAACCCCTCTATTTGCCCTTCAGGCAATGAACTGGACTTGCTTGCAGTGATTACAATAACAAATATTACTTGCCATTTTGCCAATTAAACATGTAAGTTTAGTTCTGAAAACTGTGAATTTGACCAGGAGTTTGGCTGTTGCAGTTTCTGCCTTCACTTCTGTCACTTATCTATTAGATAAAATGCTAATTTATTTGGTTTAACCCATATAATTGTTTTATTGTTGACTTTATTGGTTTGACTCCTTTCTATGTTTGACTATTGATTCAATTAGTTTTCTTCCCATCATTTATTATATTGCTATTTAATTGGTTTGCCTCCCATCATTAATTTTATTGTTAATTAAATTTGAATGCTTTTTAACATTCTTTTATTGTTTATAAATATAATTTGAATACATTCCCTCAATGTTTTTTGATTACCTGAAGATTTTTAAAAACACCTTTCTATTTAGTCAGTTATGGCTATGACAGCAGGAAGAAACGGTGCTCATTTGAAAACTAGCTGAACAGTTTCCGTTTATTGCCTTGATCTCTACACCATAGGGGGCCAATTAATGATCCGAAATGCTCTGTTACGTCAGAGATTTTGATCGGTGCTTTCATCTCTTTTGAATGCCAACTTCACCTTGTTCATTCTTTGAAAAAATGTATACAAATACACTTTCCAGATCATTAAATTTTTTTTAGGTCTTGACAGAAATTTTTTGCCATTTTCTATAATGGGCCTCCATGCTAGAACTCCAACTGCATTTTTTAAAAAAACTTAATATGTAGTTTAACTATTTTAAACAGCATATATAAGTCATATTATGGTTGTCAGTCTTAAGAAATAGCTGCATTTTTATACAAAGATTTTCCTCTGTATGTTGAATGCAAGTTTATAAAACTGCCATGTAAATGAATGTTGGAATGTTATTTTTGCCTCCCTCCCATGTCCCCCTATCTCTTATTATTTCATTTGTTTTTCTTATTTATTAAATGGACTGGGTCATCTAAATCAGATGTGATAGCCATATAAAATAAGTTTATGGGAATTTTGCTGTTGCTTTACAGCTTTCCATTCCTTCCAGACACAGTGTGCCTATATATGTCTCCACTCGTGTACATCGAGTTTGCCAACTGGCCGAATAGTTCAATAAAAAAGCACCATAGAGACAAGTTCATTAGGCTGAAATGATCTAACAGTTTGAATAATTCATTGAATTACTGAAATAGACTAGGCAAATAAAAGCCCTGATTGAACACTGTATTTTTAGAAGGAATGAAAGTAAAGCCAGTGTTCACACCGATAGCTTTTTAAAGTCAGTTGTAAGGGGAAATTGGCTTCAAAAACAGTTCTTGTGTAGTATTAGGTGTTATATTTCTGAAGTAAGGATGATGCCTGGTAAGCAGCAAAAGATTGCAGAAGATCTAAGGAAAAATTCCATAAATGATTTTTTTTTTGCCTCACATCCCAAAGACTGTCACTTAGTTATTTATGGTGAAAAGAAAACATAGGTTGTGGATGGCGGGGTTTCATAAAAACAGCATATGAGATCTACACATGTCAGTTGCCATTGACAAAAAGGCCATCTTTCAGGTAACAGTAAATGTTTTGACTTCCTGCCCAGGGTGGAAGGGCTGGCGTGCTAGCTGCTTCATATATGCAGTAGCTGTCAGCTGTAAACATAAACCATCTGCTCCTGAAGGAAAGCCAAACTGGCTTCTTATTAATATCTTCCAGGGGTTTTTCTCAAGATATTCACTGTACCTACAAAAATTAGAAGTAGATTGAAATAGAGATCTTAATAAAGGGACCCACTGTGAATAAATCAATCTGTGGTGTACTAATGGCTAAGAAAATTATTATGATTCCATATACTTTTGCTTTTTTTTTCATTATTTTTTTTTAGTCTATTCCCCCTTTTAAACTCATTTGTTCATTATTAGATACGTCTTTGTTTTGTGTTCATTTGTGGCATTAAATCAGCATTAGGTTATATAAGGCATCTGCATTGACTTCAATATTCTTACCTGGTTTAAACTATAAATGTGATAGAAACTCTGTGGCAGAAAGATAGAGACTGTGGGCAAGCATATGACCTTAAAAGGAATGCAGGGTTTGGAAGCGGGGTCAGTATTGAACATTCAGAAGGTTTTTCATAATGATCTCCTAATTTATTGGCATGATGGGCCATTAAAAACAGATAAATATTGATGTAGTTGGTTATGCCAGGAGTCTGCAGGCTCTGTACTTTATGTTGGCAGCAGATGAAGGGACTGGGTGCTGTAATATTCAAGGAGGTTGCCATAGATTAAACAGACTGCTCCTGGGTGAATGTTAATCAGATTTTTGAGGCCACATTTGGAGCCATAAGGTGTAAGGAATGCATGCTGGACATATAGCTTATCCATGTAAATGTAGGCATGTTTAACCTCCAGTAAGCTTTGTTTTTTAAATTAGATACCGATAGAACCCAGGATACATGAGTCAATTTGATGTGTACAAACAGTGTACAAGTGTATGTCTTAAAATTGAGATTATGTTTTGGCAGATAATGTTTAGGAGAGAGGGGTCATCCCCCTTCTAGGTAAGGGTATGTGGTGAGTGTTGAAATGGCTACCACATTTTTCTGCATTCTGAAGAATAATGTAAATCACCTGCAGGACTTTTCAGTAAAATTGGAATATTTTCCTAGCTGAATTTCATTTCATTCAGTCCAGTGCATGTATTGATTAAAAAAAACACATGATCTGGGAGATAAAACCCGTGATCTGAAGATTCGTTCATCAGTTTTTGAGATCAGTTGACAAATTGAGAAGTATCCAAAGAATACAGAGACTTTTTTATCTGTGAAACTTAAAATGCATCAAGTTAGTGCTTTATCCTCTCTAGCCATTTTTTCTGCTCATAAGTCACTTTGCAGTG